ATCGCCAGGCTGATTTTAACATCCCGTTAATGAGCGAGCATAGCCCCATGTAACCAAGCCACATCCATCATCAGTGATCCTGCACCATTCCTTTAGTTAAGCAGCCACTACGCTTTTGGACAGTAAAACAAAAGGAAGAAAAGGAAAAAGCCCTGACAACATTCACTTTCATATTTAATTTCCTATGACTGTCGCAAACATGGACCCCCGTCCCACACCGATGCACACAGCCTTAAGTCAACGGTTCTGCCAACTCCCTGAACCACGCCTCTGCCTGTCCAACGCTTTACGCCTGTACGAGAGATGGATACCAGCATTATTTTCAATACACTGCGCTCCCCAACGCAAGGCACCATCCACATTCCCCAAGCATGGCTCCTTCTCAGGGCTGCAATGGATAAGCCAAGGAACAAACCAAGAACAAACCTGCTACACACACAACTTGAGGCCTCCAAGCCACATGCCATAACCCCGCACGGCAGAACTTGACATGGCACCCAAGAGGAATGCTCTGAAATCAGTCATTATCTGAGTCTCAAATTCCTTTCTCCCTTTTCCTTCCCAAACAAGGCACAGTAAGAGCGACAGTGCAGTACTTGTTGCAGGCTTATCCCTGAAATTGGAATCAAAAATTGCAGAGAGCTGCCATAGCAAAGCTACTCCATTTGTGGAGCAAATACCATTTGGAACAACAAAGCTGACCGCTCATTCTAGTGCACTCATAGCACAAAGTTTAAAAAGCAAGTCCAATACATATTCCCTGTACTATAAAAATGGCTTAATTTGAGGTAAGAAGAAATTTTTTTGCTATTTTCCCACCACGACCAGGCAATGTTTTTTTTCTTTTGCAGAACGATCTCCAAGCTCTCATTACTGCTGGTCTAAAACATTTATTCCTGCCCACTCAAATCTGCAAAAAGAGAAATGAATCATATGTCAATAAAACTTGGGGTCCTGAACATGTGTTTCAGAATTAATCTTAGCGGCAAAATGTGCGAATCTGAGCCCAGCTACAGCAAGGCCTGCCAACTTCATTCATGGTAATTAAGCAAAGCCACACGCATATAAGGGGATATTTAAGGAGCACGGAGTGTTCCTATGGGGACTGGACCGAAGAGCTACTCCATGAGCAGCTACTGCACTTTAGAAACACATTAATTACCCTGCATGAAAAAAGCTCCCAGAACTACCAAGGATAAAGAATTTGGCAATACCTGAACTGACATTTTCTACAAGGACTAAGCTCTTCTGCTTAGTTGCTGGCTCTGATGACACACTGGATGGCAGCTCCCCTGTGCCTCCGCTTTGGACTCAATCCCCCTAAGCGCTCAGTGCATGATCCAAACTAAAAAAGTACTTATGTCCAGGTAAGTCTTTTGCCTGAAGCTTCGCATCAAGTGGTTTATTGCACTGGGCTGAAAGGACAGCACACTGCTCACCCACATTTGGGCTCTCTGATGACCCATTCCTGACATAACGAGCACAGCGATGCTGCACAAGCTGCCTCATTACACCCAAGGTAAGTTCTCAGGCTGCTGGTTAACAAGCAACTCCATGGGGTTGTAACGAAGATATTCTGCCAAATGACGATGGGCTTTCACCCATTGAGTAGCTGTACGTCCCATCCCCAGGCCTAAGGAGCTTATCCTAGTCCAGCTCGCAGTGGAACCAACTAGTGGAGCCAACAGTGGAGTTGTTGGCTTCAGAAGGTGAACCACGCCTCAGCCTGGGAGCACCCACTCATCCCCGTCAATACCACACGCACCGAAAGACTGCTGGCATCCCCCATCTTTTTTAGCAAGGCTCACTCATGCTGGCATAGTCCTGTACTGAGGCAGCATCCCAGCTCTGGGCTTGATGGGGCTCAGCATGACGGCAGGACAAGGACTCAGCACCTGACTTTATCAGCACACTCTACGGCAATGGCTTCCAGGCAGATACAGCAAGTGCAAAACATATGTTCATCTTAGCCAATAACCATTTAGGTCACTTTCTCTGCCCTTCCACAAACCTTGCCCCATCCGACTCCCACCATGAAAAGAAAACCTTCACAGCTCCTGCCATCTGGATTCTTTTTCCTCTGTCTCTCCAGCTCATCATGTTTCTGTCTATAAATGCCAGAAAGAGGAAAAAAAAAAAAAAATCACGTATTTTGTGTCTTTCATCTTTACATATCATGTCTATGACTGTTTATTTTTCTCTCCCTCCTGTTACTGGTTTTCCAAGCACCTGCTTCAGCATTTTCTCCAACACGATCTTTATCGTTGGCAAGGTGCTTCTGCCAGCTGCTGTTCCAGGTCAGAGCCCCAGGGCAGCCAACCCAGCCTGGCAAATTTTCATCAACTAACAATCAGAACTGCACCACAGCGGCTTTGCGTTGCTCTCCAGAATCCGAGGACACCTTCTACAAAATAAAATGCTATTGCACTAGACTTTTTGTCCCCATCTATCATGATCTCACAACACAAAGTACACTCCAGTAGACTCAACTTCAATCCAACAGGAAACTAGTAAAGGCTGTCTGTCCTTCAACTAATCAAGCAAAAACGGGGGAAGTATAAAAAAAATTGTCAACACGTCAAATCTATCATTCTACAGGCAGAATCTTCCAACTAGCAATCAAAAAAACCCTCACAAATTTCTAGCACAAGCATCACTGTTATTGAAAGATACTAAAATGCAGTTTTTCAAAGTAATAAGCTTTATTGCTTTACTTCTTCCAGGATTTATTTTAACGCTTTGATCAATGAATTTAATTTCAATCACCACTGATAAAATACACCTTATTCAATGAACTTTAAAAATCTTATCACTGAGAAAACAGGGGAAGATGATACCAAACATCCTCCCTGAATGTCCTAGTACAAGCACTGTTGTTCTCTTTGCGGTTGCAATCCTCTGGGTAAGGTAAGGTAAGGTAAAGTAAAAAGAACATGGAAGTATGAAAAGACCAAAACAAGGCACCTTCCGAATCAAGGCGTGAAGGACTTCTGCTTAAATTAAGTTTTTCCATATGATAGCAAGCAGATGAATGCAAAAGGCTCGTAAGGTAAAGCCTGCCCATTCAAACGGAGTAGCCTCGTTTCCTCCTTCCTTTATAAATATCCAAAATGCCAATTTCTGCGTAAATAATTTATCTGGAATCCCAGTGAAGCAGACAGCACTGCTGAAAACAGCAGCAGCTTTCAGTGAAACTTTGGAGAGGGAGGGAGGAAGGGCTGGCTCCAAGCTTGGCACCCAGAGGCAGAGATGATCTTGTCCAATCAAGGTCTGTATTAGCTGTGGAACGAATCCATGTTTCTAATAAAGAGATACATAATACAGAGAAGTATTTATCACGCAAAAGAAGGGTGGGGGAGCAAGGCTGTATGGTGTGAATCACAGTAGGGTAACAGGATGCAAAGAGGAGAGCTCTGTCTTCAGATACACAAGCAGAGCCTGCGACGAATGCTAGTACCAGGAAAAAAAAATAAATTGCAGGCATGTGTAACACAGCTGTCCCCTCACCCCCGACTGCCACTCTACCGAGCAAAGCAGATCCCACTGACATGAAGACATGTCCTACATAAAGACACGCTCAGAGACTCCATGATTTTGACTTCTGCACAACTTTCAAAACTTTCCTTTTTGCCTGAATATTGCTCAGGCTAATCCCGTCACCCTCCTACTTCTATTACAGCAAATCTAGTCAGTTCTCTTGCAGTTATCAGGGGTGTGTTGATCTTCCTCCCCGTTACACACTACAGAAGGTCCAAGCAACAGGTAAAAGCGCTCTCAGCCCCTCTGCACACAGAGAGGGGGCAAAGCAGAGTCAGAGACCCAGCTGGCTTCACATATAACCACTGCTCAGTGGACTGTAATTCCACAAGCATCTGATCACAGGTTTCCACTCCAAATCAGACCCCCAGACCCACACCATAATCAGCAGTGAGGTCAGTGATTTACTGTTCATCTTATCTAACACCTCTGGCTATGCCACACGAACACATATAAATCAAAGAAAATATGAACCATCCCATTTCACACAAGGTCTTATTTCAGCAAAGGCCCTAAAACTTAGAAATCACAATCCCAGAGCTGGAAAGGAACTGGAAGAAGCACCCCTGTAATAGCAACCCTGAGCGGTACTCCTGTCCTTAACACAAACATTTGCTATGCTCTCAGCTTGGCTTTTTACAGGGTCCTACCCCTCTAGCTATGTGGATGATACTGCTAGTAGTAAATTTGGTAGCCAACAACCATTCCTGGTTACAAAGCTCAGACCAGACCATCCCATTGAACAGCTCTTTTCCTGGCTGGCAAAGAGGTGGCACTGACCAGGGCCCTTTCCTGAGAACAGACATGGAAGCACACAGACCCTCTGCATCTTCTCTTCCCATCCCATCGGTTGGTCGAATCTAGTCCAAAATACATGCTCAAACTTGCATGCATGCAAGTGCGGCTTACATCAGACAAAATCTATGGCAAGTTTATTTATTTCCTTCAGGGACATGATGAAAATAAATCTACCACTACCTTGCAAGTTTTTGCTCATGCATTATGCCACAAGTCTGTAGAGATTTTTGTCTTCCATACACTTTACTGAATCAAATAATTACTGAACTGGCACCTGTGGCTCCCCTCACGTCCCCAAAGCACAGTCATGTTAACAACCATGGGAGTGACCCAGATGGGACAGTGTGATTGCAGTGTCTGGGAATGGATGCAGGCCACTACAGTGACAAGATCTTCCAAAAGGTGCAGACTTCTAAAGCAGTCTTGAGTTGTTCTCATTAAAACTGACATAGGATCTTTTGTCATGCCACCTCCTTCAAATATGAAAGACTCCTCTACCTCACAGTGTTAGTTATTAAGACCGGTTATAGGCCCACACTATTTCAACCCAGCAGATGCTGTATTAACAAGATGACAATGACTAATTAGAAACCACGTTACTTGCCAACAAGCAAAGGAACCGCACAAAAAAACAGCAAGAAAAATAGTGGCAATAATTCTGTTACCTGAGAACTAGGCACAAGGGCTTTCCACCAGTGTCCGCCTTTCACAAGGTCTACATCACTCAAGGGCATTGACACTTTGCCAATAACACAATGGCGTGAGAATTTGTCAAAATCCACTACGGTTAAAAGCAGAGTTCTTCTCTGGGCTTCTAAAAAGGGGATTTCAAATGTGTACCTCTCTTCAAAAACCGGGTTCTGCGTTTTGCGTTTCACTCCGGTCTGCTTGGAGTTCTTCTGATCAGGAAGAAGGCAGATCTTCACGTAGGGGTTGGAGTGAGCCATGTCTTGCCGTGAACCATCATAAGAAATTGGAGGAGGCAGATCTTTAGCCTCAATCACTCGCACTATTAGATAATTATGCAACAGATCGTACTGCGTGCTAAAATGCAGCATGCCCAGCTGATACTTCGATAAGATCTCCTCATCTGTCAAGGAGTCCATATCATCACTATTTGAGTCAAGAGAGTACAGTCTGGGTTCAAATTTTCTAAAATAGTCATCTGGGGTATAGGTTTTTCGCAGGATAGTTGGCTGAACTATTTCTTTCTTAGCTCCTATTATTCCAAACTCGATAGGTTTAATATCAATTAACGGAGAACTTGGCCTCCTCGACTCTAAACCTAAACGAGAGAAATGCACAAATACAATGGTTAGAAATTCAACTGAAGCCATTACAGGCACAAGTCAACTTGTTCTTCTTCGGGTGCAGCTATTCTGTGTCTGTGCAATGCCCAGCACGGCAAGCTCCCCAGTGGGACTTTTCACATTTACATTGCGAACAATTAATAGCACCCTTAGTTACACTGAAGTGCCAGCTCAGTTACACGTTCCCCCCACCGTCCATTTTCATGTGGAATTACCATGCACATGCTTCAGCAAGAAAAACAGGGCTGGCCCCTTCCACTGTGTTCCTGCAGAACAGGATAAGATTTTAATCAATGTACCTTCAACTTGACTTGATTTGCTGTCTAAAAGATGAAAGAGCAAGCACTACAGTTTGATTTTCTTCCCCACAAGAATTACATTAATGTTGGAAGGATGACCTTACTTGAAATCCTCCTCGTGAGGCTGTAAGCGGACCGTGATGCATCTGAAGACGACCGCCTTCTGTCAGGGGAAACATTCTGAAGAGCAGGAGGCAGCTCACTGATTGTATTACCAGAGTCTCCATCTTTGTCCTCATTTTGGCTGCTTATCCTGTTATAACAAGAGACCTTTGGGTGATTCAACCCAGTAAAAGGAGTATATACAGAATAAAAATGCATTCTAGTATTCTGGGTCTCATCTTGGGTGCACACCCTTGGATGCTACAGGGTATCTCCTGATCTATCTGGCAAGCAAAAGGCTGAGCAACTGACTTCACACCTATGAAAAAAAACAGATTCTTTATCTTTCTGCCTGTCTTTCAAACAGAGCTATACCAGTATTTGAGCACGACCAAGGCCACATGGGCATGTGTGACTCAGATCTTGATCAGAAGTATTATAGTTGTCTTTAAGAGAAGAGAAAAAAAAACAAAAACCCACAAATCCCAAACAATAGCTTATTGCTGTAAATTCACAGCTACGCTTTGGAAGCACAGACTTCACCAGGAATGAACCAGCATGGGAAACCACCATGCTCAAACATCTCAAACATACCACACACCTCTCAGTAAAACATTGCTTTGCAGGTACACCACTAAGGTTTCAAAACTCAATCTTATAAACACAAATCATTAAGAGATATTTATTTTCATGCCTTTTAAAATAACTGGCTGCTTTTTATCCAATTCTATAAACCAGAGGTGATTCCCACCAGACAGTAATTTTACTGCCCAGGGGCCTCGGTGGGTCCAGGGAGGTTGGCAGGATTTAAACAACAAAGCAAGTTTTGATGAGAGCTGTAGCATCTTTAAGAAGACTCTACAGAAGACTGGCACCATAAAGAAGTCCATGTGTAATTCTCATTTCAGTTTTTTATACATACATATACATATATATGTCATTTTCATATAAAACAACATTCTGGTTAAAAACCTCAACGTGTCACAGCCACAGTGGCTCACAAAAGCAGTCAGGACCTCCCAGCCTTGATTGAACGAAGAGCAAGAGCTCTTCAACTCAACAACTACAGGAGACAAAGCCTCCAACTGCATGTTCAGAGGGGAGTGGCTGCCGATCAAAATGAAATCACACAATGGTACAGGATGTGTAGTGCATCATGCAAAATAAGCCTTTTGGTTAATCCACAAGACAAAGTACTCCAAAAAATAGCAGCAGATCACAAGGAAAGCATCAGTGTGAAATGAGCAAAGCAAGGCGGAATACTGTGTGAGTTTTGCTCCCGATTCACCCTTTCTACATGCATGGCTCAGATGGGTATAAACGAATATGTTGAATCATTTGCTTTAGTAACCAATGACTGGAGTAGAGCAATAAATATGTTCTGCAAAAAGCAGTAAACTCACATAAAAGCTCCCCCCCAGTATAAAATAGATTTAAACTGGAAATTCTTATCCAAACACACAAAGTTCACGGCAGTATCCACGCAAACCTCACCAGTTCAGAGTCACACAACTCATCCACAACGTGTTAAAACCAAGCCCTATGCTAAAAGTGACAGACAATATTTGCACAACTCCGCATCCTACTAAAGGTAGTCCAAATCATGTGGTTTGACCTATAATCAGCACTTGGAACAGAAACAGCTTGTTCATGCCTAAATGTGGGCCTACACCATCATAGGTAGCATTTGGATATTCTTGTGTTTCAGAAGCAAATGCACAGAACAAGGAGAAAGCAGGGTGAAGAGGGAATCAGGAAGAAAGGCATTAAGGATGTTCTACAACGAGTAAATGTAATAGTAAGCTAATAACATACAGATGACCTTTAGTAAGGAAATTGCTAGAGCCACAATAATTTTTCCTCAAATAAACTTTGGCTCTGGTTAAAGTAGCTCTGTTTCTGTTTAATCCAAACCTTCGGGAAGAGAAGTCGCATCCTGATTTCAATTCGGTCTCACAGAGTGTGCACTGTTTATCTCTGGGATTTGTGTAGAATATTCCATAATGGGCAGCTCCAACATATACCCTTGTTCCCAGCCCATTTCTTCAAAGACCAGGATGCAAGTGCTCCTCATGAAATAACAAGAAGCTACCATGCATTCAGGTCAATACAATTAGACTCACTTCAGTAAGATTTTTTTTTTTTTTTTTAATAAGTTGCCACTGTAAAAACTTCAGAAAGTGAGAAAAATCAACAGTCTCCCAAGAGGAAGGGCTTAAACTTGCAGCTTTAATGTCCTCTCCTGATTTTCCAGGACAACAAGGTGTCTCAGAGCTGCCAAAGGGAAAACCTATGGGCAAAAAATAAAGGATGGATTATTAAGTATGAGCATTCAGATGTTTGCTAGTAGGCCAATGAAGACCATAAAAGCAGTTTTCCCCTGGGGACATGGTGCAGAGATAAGGAAGGAGCAAATTGCACTCCACATTACACCAGTGTCCTGGGCCCATGAAGAAGTGGCAAGATGGAGAGATCTCAGCTGAAAATCTAGATCTATTTTTAAAACACTTTCAGGCCGCAAGCCGGGAATACAATAAATTGATTTGTTCCCAAATTCAATGCCTGCGTCTAAATGCAGAATATGGTGGTGTCAAATCCATCTTCCACTGTAGGAGTTTCCACTGAATCCAAAAGCCCCCTTCGCAAAAATAAAAAAGAAAAAAGGACGAGGGATCAATTGGCATACACGGATCTCTGAGCACTTAAAAACATACCCACTAAACACCTTATTCTGAGACCAATTCCAAACTCTTACTCTGTTCACACATCTAACTCCACACATTGTTTCCTACCTCCAAAAACACATAGGGAGATTTAGGAGTATAAGATCAAGACAGTGAAAATAGAAATCTTCGGCTGCTGAATTCTCAGCCGGCAGAGGCTGCATGGAATTGTTTCCACCTTAAACCTGCACACACAAAAAGTGTGACGCTCCTATTCCTCAGCAAACAAAATACACCATTTCTGTCTCTTGCCTTTTACTCCCCTTTCCTCTTTGTCTTCCAGACTCTTGTTCCTCTACAGGTTCATTTTCTCCCCAATTCCTCTCAGTCACATCCCCTCAGCTCCTTTCCCTCTCCATATCTCTGCTTCTCTCTTTGACCTCCTCACTTGACTCACTTCTGGCTTCCTTCACCATTTTCCAACAAAGTCACCCTGGAAGTTTAAAGCACCGCCATCTTCCTTGGCACTACTCTGGATCTATCTCAGCTCAAGAAGAGGAGCCAACAGCCTTTTCAAGCAATCAAAGCCTGATATCCACCTTCCACATCAAGGTGCGTTAAGAGGCGTCCTTAGAGATCACAGGATTTGCAACAGTGCCACAGGAGACGGCAACTTCAGTGATCTAAGGCACGGCAGCATCCATGCCACCTCACAAAGCCAAGCTACTTCTCTCATGTGTCCTCCTCTTTGGTTCCTGCTGCCCCTCTCAGGCATTACCTCTGGGAATACGCCTTCTCTCAGCACTACAGCAGAACAGGGAGACCAGATCGCCTGAAGCTGGAAGGAAAGATGACCTAGACTGTGGTCCTGGGGACCCTACCCAGGGCTGCTAGCACGAGTAGATGCAGCATAAAATGCAACATGGTTGAAAAACTGGGACTTTTTTTTTTTTTTTTTCCAGAGTGTGTTGTCTTCTGCTTACAGCCGTTCCAGTAAGTTAACTGTAGAGGCTTTCAGATGCAGCAGGACTGGGGGAAAACAATACAGGCTGGAGAGAGCATTTTATGAGTCCAAAGGTCTCCATGTTCTCTGCCTGTGGCAAAGTCCAGCCCATCTGCAAAGTCACCACACATCTGGGTTTTGAGATCAAAGGAAGAACAGAGTTTCAATGCTTACAATGCCCCTTTAGCCAGACAGAAAGATCCAGCAGTCAAAAACTACACCATGGGACAATGACCCCACACTCCTAAACACACATGAAGTCCCTTCTATTCCTCAGCACACCAGAGAAACTCTGAAGCACCCTCTCACAAGCCTGTCTACTTGTTCCCAAGTATGTAATTGTTCCTGCAGCAATCTTTCTACATCCAATACTGCAGCCTCATCACTGTGTTCTCCTGTGCACAATGCTTTCCTATTTAGCATTGATTTTGTTTCCATTTCCCATTAATTGCAGGTGAATCTATTTCTGGGCATATATCAGACTCTTAAATGTGCTGCTCCACATTTAAAAAACACTCTAACACATCTTGAACATCACTATTTTTATTGCTTCAGTATTAATTACCATCCTATTCTACCTGAATTCAAAAGAGTATATAGACAAGACTACAATTTAAACATGAGACAATTTGTCTCATGAAGCAGCAAGACATGGACCTTCCAGACCTGACACAGAATAAGAGTAGGTACTCATAGGAGTAGATAAAATCAACCGAGTGTTTCAGTGCCCAGGTACCAACTTCTGAGCATCACACGATGCACTAAATGGGCATCTCCTGTGCCACAGCTTCTGGACACACTGAAGCTGGGTCCATCAAATGAGCTGCTCTCACAGAAGACAACCCAGCCCAGCTGACAGAGCAGCCACTAAAAGAGGAGACCTCTTGGTTCCACTAATGCCTCCACAGGGTCACCTCTGTGCTGCAGATTCCCAAGTGAGAGAGAGTAAAACAGGGAAGATTTCACTGACTTTGTAATAGATTTGCAATTACTAATCAAAGCCCCAGATAAAACCTGGCACTGCTGCTGCTGTTCTTTAATGATTCAAGAGGAAATCTTGAAGAGTACTAAGATGACGTAGGAGATCAAGTCTTGCTAAATGAAACTTTAAATTAATTTCCCCTTTTCAGCATGTATGAGGTACACCTTTCAACTCCCTCTATGATAACCACCTTCACGCTAGGATAAGAAAATATTTCAAACCTCATCAGCATTTCAGCTAAGTTGAAGTGCTCCCAAAGGTCTATTTGAAGAGGAAACAGGACTGAAGATGAAAAGCATCTTTAGAAAAGGGTGCACAGCTAAACCAGCTATCAGCTTGCTGTGCTAACTGACAAAATAACTTCTGTCTTACCTATCAGAAAAGTGTTTTACAAAGATTAACTGTACTATTTGAGCCAACAGGGCTGCCCTTTTTCACCTTGCCATCGAGTGGCCTATGTTTCCACCCTCAACAGAAGGTTCCTCCTTTCTACATGGCATCCTCTGAATATCCTATCGCCATCACAGCTGAGCAGCCCTACTCCTCAGTTAAAGCTAGGAAATTGTGCATCTAAACTTACAGCCAGGATGGAGTTTGAGCAGGAAAAGGTCCCAGGATTTCAACTTCATCTTCATTTGTTTGACAACAGCTACAGTCGAAACACTTCTGACAACAATTTCTACAAGTCCACCGGCACAGCAAGAGATCCGAGATTCTAGCGAGCAGACCCTGAAGCCATTGGAAACCAAAGTAGAAGATTACAACCCATCAATAGCTATTGAGAAATAACATTCAGCTGTATTTATGTTTGTGCTTCTGCAACAGAACATTAAGAACTATATTTATTCCATCTATATCAACAGACAAGTGCTATGTAGTTATCAGCCCAACTTCACTGATGCCATAACAAGGCAGGAAAATAAGCATTCACCACAGGTATTTTCCCTCTAGTAGCAATGTATTATTATGTAGGTTGGCAAGAGGGTGATTTACAAAACATGGCATAGCAATATGCTAGAGTGGAAACATGCTTATTCTTTCACACACATCAACAAACTAATAGATCAGCAAATGTACAACAGAAGGAATTAAAAACAGAAAGTAAGTGAAAGCTCCGATTTAATCTGGCAAGAGTCTATTTAATTAACACAGCAATACGAACACACTTCATCCCTGCAGAGGTATCAGTACACAGTATTTGTATGATCCATACACATACAGCATTACAGCCCAACAAACTTGCCACTAAAATGGCTTAGCAAAAGCACACTATTCTCATTCCTCTGCTATGATGATCAATTTAACGAAGAACCTTCAATAATTTTTTTAAAGAAGTTACTTGACCCAGAAAAGTATTTCATTCCTTAGGTTTCCATGGTGGCATTTAGTAGCATCACCTGTAACAGTGCTTCTCTGCTGTTACACCATGGGGTGTGAGCACCCAATCGGAGGGGTAACAGGCTGCTGCCCCATTTCCATGCCATCCCTACAGCCGTCCCTCCACTTCAAAGCTCTGCTTGCCTCATGAGGAGCAGAAAGACAAACCTTAGCTCATTTCCCACGCACATCAGCTCGAACTTCTGCAGCTCATAAGATGGCCCATCAAGCAGCACAAGGGCACTGCTAATAAAGGGCATCGCTCTGTAGTCAAGGGGGCAGACATGCAGCTGCAAGAGCACAGCACGTGTACATCCAGGGTCAAATCGCTTTACGATTGTATGTGACCTTGAAATGTTCCAAAGAAGCTGAAGAAATAAAGCATGTGAGATTTTCTCCATAGATATCCCCCAAAAATACTTAATGAATTTTCAGTATTCATACATACATAGATACAAGGGCACTATCACACTGCACAAAGGGGTTTCCTCTGAGGAACGCAGATCGGCAGAGAAGACTCCACAGGAATGTTTCTTTTTTGCCCCAGTAAAACAGAGTTTTTTCCATAAACAAATTGTGAATATTGCAAAAAAAAAAAAAAAAAAAAAAAATTACCAGCCCAAAATGTGGTGCATTACTTCTATCTAGGACATCGGTAAGGAGTCAGAAAATACGAAGCAATCCCCTTAGGATGGAGCGAGGAGACAGAGTGGAGAGTGAATCATCAGATTAACTCACCTCATTTATTGGTTCCAACTGTCCTTTTAGACATCCAGGATGAAGCAAAGGGGAACAAAATGAAAAAGACAAAAACAGGTTAGCAATGCTCAAATAACTTTAAATTTTCTGCCATGACATGCCCTGGCCTGGGATGAGCTTGAATTTCTGGCAAGACAGTACCTGACAGATGTCAGAGGAAGGAAAGGTCTCCTGACCGGGCATCAGCTTCTGCTGCTTCCAGTCCTTCCCCACCAGGCTCCTTCTGCTCCTCCTTCCCCAGAAGCAAAATTCCCAAACGCATCCTGGTGCATGAAAATCCTACTCATTGCCCCTTGCTAATGGGGTATCACACACAACCACTTATTTTCTTTTCTTTAATAACCTGTCTCTAACTGCAGCAACTAGTTGCTATTCACAGCAAACAATATCCAAATTTTCCAGTTACATGCCACAGTGGGGAAAAAAGGCTTTCCTCCAGATTCAGCCCATATAAACATAGTTTCAATGCCAACTCATAGAAAATGATGTTTCTAGGAAGGGGCACAGACTCAGCATACTCTCCATTATGTACACATCACTTGAGCTAGCCGGGCATCTTCAGTCTCATCCTCAGATGTGACTTGAAGAACACAAAAAGTAGAAGTTAAGTGCTTAAAACTTGAGCCACACACTCCAGTTTGAAAATCTGCACTGCAGCCACTTCCGTCAAGTCACAGAGAAAATCTACAGCAAAGGAAGAAATCATCGCAAGCCAGTGTTTTATTCACAAAGCCACCCTTGGATTGGATACTTGACCCACTTCATGTATAACTGGAGACTTAGTAGCATTTCAGATGCCTGCTCAAATGTCCTTCCTATCGCTTTCCCTTGATAATGTCCATGAGTTTCCTAATTGTCCTGGCTGTCTTTCTATAGGGGGAATCCCAAAACAAATAACCACACCAACACAAAACCACAAAATACACAAAAAAATAACCCCACTCTTCTCTACTCTTCCACACATAGAAACTGATTTCTAGCTTTATGTCCATTACAGGGACAAAAGCAGCTTTTCCTGAAGAAGCTGGGACACAGAAGGTGCCTTTAGTTCCAAGAACTCTCCCATGGACCACGTTTCAGCACAAGTCTGTTTTTTAAACTTCTCCAAAACCAGTGCTTGGTGAAAAGGCCATCACTTGTTAGAAGCACAAATTAAGAGATGGGAAATACTGCAGTACAATGTGACAAGACATGATTACCAGATACCCATGGACCAACTGTTTAAGAAAATTCTGAATGGTTTAAAGGGCATTATCATTCCTTATTAATGCAAAGTTGCAGCCAAAGCACAGCAGCCAAAGCTACAGTGGTTCAGCAAAGCTGAAACAAGAATATTTAAATCGCTCTAAAACGAAGTGGCTGGATCTGTGCCACACGATCGAATGCCACAGCACGTGCTGTGTGAAGGAAGTGGCACTTCCGAACAGCCCGTGGGGACACACGGTAGGCTTGTGTCAAACAGCCTCCTGGTCACCATCAGCCACCGGTGATGCGAAACCACACCTGTGTGCCGCCAGCTCCAAGGGCACATGCAGCGGTCTCACAGGCATCGTAACAACGTGAGTCTGTGGGCACCCACAAATCTCCATGAGGAAATAGGAGGACAGAAATAAGAACTAAATATTACAGTGCAGAAGAGGTAAACAAGTAACCAGTGCCATACAGGGCTTAAATGCAGGGGCCCATGGAAGGAAAGCAAACACAAGCAGCTGTGTTCATCCACCTTGCTCACACCGGGCAGGAGGGCCAGGGCTGGGGAAGGATGCACCAGCTAGCAGGCACTGGGGGATCCCAGGGAGCAAAGGTGCTGCGACACACTCAGCACCCCCAGGAGAAGGGGTCAGCCCCCAGGGCCGGGGAGGCACCATGTCGTCCCAAGTCAGCCAAGCAGAGAAGAACCCAGCTGGGAGCCTCCAGCCACAAGAGAACCCTCATCAGGGGCCAACCGTGACTGTCACAGGTGCATCCTTGCCTGGCGCTGGGTGCGATGCAGGGCTGCACCTCCACCTCACACCTTGCCACAGGGTCCCAGTCCCCCCAGTCTGCCTGAGCTCGTGGAGGGTCGCCTGCACCAAGCCAGCACAGCCACCGATCACAACCGGGTCAACAGACCAGCCACCACAACCTGCCATGGCAGTGTCCCCAGGGACGCTGCAGCAGGGTGGAGTCCCCACTGGTGACAGACCCTGTTGTGACCCCGCACTTACACCCCTAGGGAAGGCTCACAAGCCCCACCACAGTGTAAGGACAGTGCGTGCTCCCCCAGCCACACATCCGTGGGCGGCCCCCACCACCCCAACGTGATTAACACCACAGCGTGGGGATAACGGGGTGTCCCTGCTGCCCTCGTCCCCACCCACCTACCTCCCCCTCGCACACGGGGGCCCCTACGGAGGGC